GAGAGGTCTGTGTCCCGATTCCCTATTGGCAATTTGGGTAACCTCTTCAGAGGCTGGTGTGATAAGAATAGGAGGTAGGAATTCACTAGGCAGTTCGTGTAAAAAGACCCCAAAGAAAAGTAGCCAGTTTCTTGGCTAAAACTCACATGGGCCTTGGGCCTCTTAGCAACATACCCTGTTCCAAAGGCCAAAAATGTCAAAAGCATTTTGGAGCTTTTATCTAATCCTTAAAAGATTTTAGCATTATCTCTTCAGAGGGGGGAATGTTAGAGTAGCCAAAAGCCCCACAAAAATAAATGAAAGAAGAAAAAAAAAAGAAAAGAAAAATTTAAAAGTGATGGGGAGATATGGGCTTGGGCCTCTTAGCAACATACCCTGTTCCAAAGGCCAAAAATGTCAAAAGCATTTTGGAGCTTTTATCTAATCCTTAAAAGATTTTAGCATTATCTCTTCAGAGGGGGGAATGTTAGAGTAGCCAAAAGCCCCACAAAAATAAATGAAAGAAGAAAAAAAAAAGAAAAGAAAAATTTAAAAGTGATGGGGAGATATGGGAGGTGTTGGAGGGGAGGGAGTGGGCATAGATTTGATCAAAACACCTTATATGCATGTATGAAATTCTCAATAAAGTTTTTGTAAAATTTAAAGAAAAAAAAATGTCTCCATGCTATGCTTTCCTGGCAAATGTCTGTACACAACGGATAGTCCATCTCTACTACCCCAGACCCTGAGCACTTGATAAAAACAGCCTTATTTCACCACTCCAAAGTAATGTGTCAAGTACATTACTTCTAGTTTTGCCCATTGGGTATTAAAACCTACATTCTTTTCACTACCACACACCGATTCCTACCTTCTTCTTTATATTTATTGAGTGGCTCTTCAATGCTATAAATTAGGTTAAGGATCTTCCTGTATGCCCATTCTCTGATTTGTCCTGAAAGTTCTAAGGCCATGTTTTTCTCCTCAAGGGAATGCAATGACTATTTCCTTATATGTCACTATGATTCTAGAGGTGACTGACAATCTCATCGATGTTAATTCAGACTCAGGTTACCAATCTCCATCTTCTTGTCTTTTCTTTGTGTGTATGTGTGTGGATTAACTAGGACCCTACAAATGCTAGGAAGTATTCTCTCACTGAGATACACCCCTGACCTCTCTTTCATTTTCAAACATAGCATCCTTACTCCTTCCCAGAATTCTGAACGATATATTTATATGTGGTAGATTTTCAATTTAATAATAACTAGTTATTATTATCATCACTGAATTATTGTGGCTACTAAAATTTTATAAACTTGACTTAGAATAGCCATTGGGCAACATTACCTTTTTAAGAAAAAAGAGTTTCTAGACACCAAATAAAAAGCAAGTTTCAGAACAGAGCTTACACAAATATTCTGAACTAGCTTATTAGGGCTATCAGATGCCTTAACCAACACTGATTTTCTATCATTCTGTATGTTTCTAAAATAAAACAAAATAAGAACTTGTGTTCTATGAATACATTTGCACATCCACTTAAGAACACCCCCCCCGCCCGCCAATTTGGGGGATTGGACTTCAAAGTCTTGGCATAGTACCACCCAGTGGTACTGCTAGCCTCTCATCACTTACTTTTATTTTGCTTTGTAAGACATCATAAAACAAACTGGCTTTTGAAAACTGATTTCTAGAAAAGCCACTCTAAACTCTTGAACTTCTCTGAGTGGCAGGAGTTGCCCCTCAGACAATACCTGAGTTTGTGCCAACAGATGAGAAGTGCATATAATCATATTCTCTTAAATCTCCTCCCAGGCCAGGATACTTTTAGGTTTCCTTCTGCTGTGTCTTGAATCTGAAATGTCCCTTACAGTTTTAAACTTGTCCCCAGCTGGTGACACTGTTTGGGGAGGCTGTGGAACCTTTAAGAAGGTGAGGCCTAGCTGGCAGAAGTAGGTCACTAGGGACAGACCTTGCATGGATCTTCCCTCCTTCTCTACTTCTTGGTCCACTGTAATGTGAACAGCCTCTGCCACATGATTCTGCTGCCACAAACTGAGCTTCTCCACCTTGCCTTCCCCAAAGGGTGAAACTATGAATCAAATAAGTCTTTCCACCCTTACATTGTTCCTGGCAGATACCATGGTCACTGAAGAATAAATAATATACCTCTAAAGGTTTGCTTTCTCAAATAGTGGAGAAATAATCATCTTTACCCACGTTTTCCGTAGGTATATGTAGGTTTTCATTTTGCAACCCAGGAGAAATGTGGCCAGATTACATATTTAACTCCATAAAGCTTGCTGAGATTAGTATTCTGAATGACAGCACTGATTTGCACTCCCATCAGCTCTGTAGGACTGGCTGTTCCAGTTTCTACACATCCTCATCTGGACTGGACACCAGTATTCTTGCTATTTTAATTTGGATTTCCCTAAGTACCAATAAATTAAACATTTCTTCATCTCTGTATTAAGCACTTGGGCTCCCCCTGCTGTGGGTGTGTCTATATTTCTTGCTTCCTTATTACTTGGAATTTGAACTTTTTCACAAAAGTTTGTGTATATTCCATAAAATTGTTGGTTTCAGATGTTGCTATTTTTTTCTACCACTCAGTCTCCAATCTCATTTTTCTGTTTGGTTTTTTTAACTCTGATGTAGTCAAGGTAAGAATTTCTGCTCTTTGATTTTTGCTTTTCAGGGTCTTAAGAAATCACCTTGTACCCTACCAATAGGAAGATATTTCTCTACATTTTTACTTAGCAACTTTGTAGTAATTTATTGCACAGTTAGAGCTTTAACCTGCTGTGAATTTATTCATTATCTAAGAGGTAAGAAATCAATGGTATTTATCTACTTACAGTAAATCAATTTTTTCTCAACATAATTTATGAAATAATTCATGCTTTCTCTGCTGACTTACGATGATACCTCTACAACTTGCCTGTTCTTTCATAAACCTGGGTTTCTTTATAGATTTTTCTTGTCCTGTTATCTGTTTCTAAACTAGAACCACACTATTTTAATGATTAGGCCTTGGTAATGGATCTTAATATCTAGTAAGGCAAAAACTGTCTCAGAAATTCATGGGACTTAATTTTTCTAGGCAAAGTACAAAAATCATGTATTAAGGTCTCTTCCAAAAACTGTTCTAGACTTTTGTCTGGAATTGTATTAAATTTGAGATGAATGACGGGGGTGGGGAGAACTGACATGTTTATAACATCAAGTTATTCTTACAGAGATCATGATGATGGTCTATCTCTCCATTTATTCACATCATTTATATTCTTTAAGAGTTCAGATTTCGCTGAGCATGGTGGTGCACGCCTTTAATCCCAGCACTGGGGAGGCAGAGGCAGGCAGATCTCTGTGAGTTCAAGGCCTGCCTGGTCTATATAGTGAGTTCCAGGACAGCTGGGGCTACAGGGAGACCCTGTCTCAAAAAGACAAAAACAAACAAACAAAAAAACAAGAGTTCAGATTTTCTCCATATACAACTAATGTGCTCTTTATTAGGGAAAAGTCAAATATTATAGATCTTTGTTGCTACTTTAAATAATATCTTCTTTTCTTTTGCATTCTTTGGTTTATTGTTGCTAGAGAAGAAAAGCATTTGGTTCCTAATCTAGTTTGAATCTTTTAAGAGCTTTTCTAAAAAGCTCAACTCGGTAACTGAAATAAGAAAAGGCTAGGTATTATATAATCCCATGTACACGAAATGTCCAGAATGGATACGTATTGAGACAGAAAGATTTGTGGTTGCCTAGAGCTGGGACAAGGGGTGAAGACAGCAGGAAAGTTGAGGCACTTGCATGGTGTTCACTCTCGGGGACCATGACTTCTTTGGGGGGCGATGTGATCAAAGTATTCTAAATTGAATTGTGGTGATAGTTGCATAAAAAAAAACGTGAATGATTAAAACTACATAATCACATACTTTAAATGGATAAATTGTAGGCAAATTAATTATATCTCAATAACGTTGTTACCAAAAATGGAGAAAAAGAAAAAAAATGGATGTCTCACAAACCATTCCCTTGCTCCATATATCTCTACAGCCTAATTCTGAATTCAAGTGCTTCTCATCTACTTGAACCCAAATCACAGGCAGAACTCAGAATGCAAGGTAGCCCTCTGGTCTCCACACAGGCAGGTACATGGAGGGAGGCTGGGATCGTGCAATCTGTCCACCACACCTACCGAATTTCTCCTTCAGTATCTTCACCTTTTCCTTTCATTAGTCAGGCCAAAAATGTGTTCTCTTATGAGACTTTTTCTAAAGTCAGCTTTTGCTTTCAGTAGAGATGCTTACTTACTTGTGCACAGGTTTTTTCCATTTTCTCTTTTCCCACTCAGATACGCATTATTTCCTTTTGTTTTTGCTGTTGTTTTGATTTTGGAGTTGATGCTTGGGCTCACTTGCTATCAACCTTATTTCCTGATGAATGTATTCAAAACTATAATTGTTCCCCTAAGTTCAATTTTGGATTAATGCTAACATTAACATTTACATATATATGTACATATATATCATATATATGTATGTATGTATTTGTGTGTACATGTGTGTGTCTGTGTATTTAGGGGTGAAGCTACATACCATGGCACACATGTGGAGGTCAGAGGACAACTTCTGGGAGAATTCTCTCCTACCACAAGGTCCTAGGAACTCAGGTTGTCAGGCTTGGCAGAAGGCACCACTATCTGCTGAGTCATCTTGCCAGCCCTAATGCCAACATTTTTACATGTAGTGTTTTGATGGTATTTTAGTTTTCTTTATGATTACTTCCTTAGTGTTGGGTCAATATTTTCTTGTTTTAATTAGCATCCCCCTCCCCCAGATATATTTTTTGCTGTGGTAACAACCATCCATAACTCCAGTTCCAAGGGACTCCAATGTCCTCTTCTGATCTCCTTGGGCATTGCACAACACAGGTGCACATACACACATGAAGGCAATACACTCATACACACATAATAAAAATAATAAATAAAATAATTTTAAAAGAAGTTTCTCATTTAGTTAATTAGTTTTTGCAGTGCTGGGAGCCAAACCTGTGCACATGCTAAGCAAGCACTCTGTCCGAATTCCACCTCTGCTCCCTCTTGGTTGTTATTTGAGGTTCTGTGGTTTCCATTTTCATCTAATCTATGGACTGTGTGTTCCTTTCCTGCAATCCCCTGAGTCCACTCTGCCATACTCTACTGAGTGGGTAATGGCTTTGGTTTGCTATTTATTGCTTCTAATTAACTGGTGGAATCACAGCCTTCAGGTATTAATTTAGCACTTGATTCCTTGAAGTTACCACAAATTGTCTAGCTATATCATTTGGCTTCATCTCTGAGAACAACTGCATCAGCTGTCCTGGGACTTCATGAATTGTGCTTAACAGAGTCATATAATGGAAAGAAAATGTTGAGAGATGTGGGAAAGTACAAAGTCCCACACTCAGGTAAACGAACCTTTCATGGTAGCACTCTGCTGCTGAGGAATCTGCATATCAATTCCAAACCCCTCATCTCAAGTTCTTTTATAAAAAATCTCCATTTCTATCTCTCTAAGTCCATTTCCTAGTACATGTCAATATGGGCCCTCTGCCCCAGTCATGCTGGACACCTTGCACCACTTATTCCATAAAGTCACTCCACAGATCCATCTCAACTAAATGCCTCCAATCTTCCATCACACAGTCTTTCCTCCTTCTTAGACTGACTCTATAAAGCTTTCCTTGGTGGCTACTGCGCTCCAGATGTGGAAATTAATGAAACCAGATTACACAACTGGCAGCTAATTTTCTCCAGGTATACAAACATACATAAAGAATCTAGTGTGCTCTTCATTGGTTAGTACTTGTGCCAAACCAGAATATTGGTTCTCACATGCCACCTTTAAGTCACTTGGAAGTACAGGCTAGCTGGGTACAGAATATATGCATTATACACTTTCAGAAAGAGATGGAATATTTATTCTTTCTCAGGGTGACAGATTCTGCTTTGGCTTGCTCTTCTACCCACTGTTTGCTCCTTCTTCCTGGGCACAAGGCTACCCAGTTAGAAGACTACTTGTCTAGCCTCCCTTGCAGCTAGGCTATTACATAATTATGCTTTTTTGCCAATGGATATGAGAAGCAGTGATTTGTGCAACCAGTCAAAAAGGTAATTACTTATCCTGAATCCCCCCACCCCCTCTCTCCACATGTATGTGAATGGGTCAGAGGACAACCTTAGGTGTCAGGCCTCTACTTCCACCTTGTTTAATACAGGGTTTCTTGCTTGTAATTGCATAGACCAGGCTAGCTGGCCCACGGGCTTCCAAAGACTCTCCTGTCATTGTCTCCCATCTTGCCATAGGAACTCTGGGATTAAAGATACATAGGCTACTGCATCCAGCTTTACATGGGTTTGGGGGTTTTGAACTCAGGTCCTCACACTTGTGTGGCAAGCACTTTACCCACTAAGTCATCTCGCCAGCACCTTCTCTCAATCTTGAATAAAGACATATAAACCATCAATCTTCTACCACACAAATGAGGACAGTCTTAGAGGATGGTGGAGCAACAAGATGGAAGGAACTTAGGTCCCTGAGTGACACAACATAGCATAAAGCTGCCTCACCAGTCCCTGACCAAGCAGGCCTTAGATCACTAAATGTTGGGGGGGGGTGTCTCTGTTTCAACAGTTAGTCTCTAATAAATATATTTCTCCTAACCCATTCTCCCTCCCTTAATATCATGGCTACAATTTTTAAAGTGGGTATATTATGTCTTTTACAGCTAAAAGGCTACTGCTCCCAGCCTCCTTTACAGCTATGTATGATCACGTAACTAAGGAAGTAGAATTGTTAGATGAAACTTCTAACACAGTTGTGTTCTCAGTAAGTAGCTAGTGACCATTTTCTCCCCACCTCCCTCTCCCACCATCTGGAATGTGTGTCTAATGGATAGAGCTCAAGTAATTACTTGGGACCATGAAATTACATGCTAAGAATTATGAAAGAGCAGAAGATCAGGACCCAGGAGCCCAAAGACTTTCCATACCAGTTCTTGATTTGGATTTCCACATTTCTTTACGTGAGAAAATTCTATCTTATCAAATATATGAACATTTGTATGCGGCATACAGCTGACCTAATCCTAATGAACAGATATGCCCATGAACAAATTCCCAATTTCAACTCCCCAGCTTGATTCTTGGCCCTTCTTTGTGGAAGTAAAGGGAAATCACTCTTTCCTCAAGCTGCTGACCAGTTTCCATTTCTTTTGACCAGGACTGGTTTGCCTTTTGTGCTCACTGAAACAGCTCCACAGGGAAGTTGGCTAAGAAACTCCCAGTCTCTGGGCCCAGATGGTCCCAACAAAGGTGGCTCACATTAGGGGATCACAAGCTTGGTGGCAGGAGATGTGGGTTGGACAGTGGAGGAAGCTGTGACCCAGCTCTGGCTCCTGGGCAGTGAGACCAACAGAACCCTTGGGAAGATGGGGCGCTCGGCTCTGCAAATTAGGTCAATATAGACAGGGAGGAAACTGCAACGTATCTCTTTAAGTTGTTTGGTTTTTTGGTTTTTTTTTTCACCAGCTGCCCTGGGCTCCAGTACCCCCAGGCCAGACGGCGTCTCCTCCCTTGCAGGGAGGGTGGAAGCCAGACGCTAAGAACTGTGGCGAGCCTAGGCTTAGCACCTCTTGCCCACAACCTCAGGACTTGATCCGAGTTACCCCACGAGTCACCCCACGTGTAAAAAGGGGAGCACACGCTGATGGCTCTTCCAGTCCTCCTTCCTGGGTGGAGGGTCTGAGCACCGCGCTCCCCAGCCTGGCCTCAGCTGTGCTCCTCTGCCTCCACCGACATTCTTGCTAACTGGTCCAGCGCCCCTCCATCCTCCACCCCCGCGTCGCCCCTCACCCTCCTGTAGCCTCACCCTCCTCCGACAGGTAGCGCAGGTCATAGAACTCGCCAGCGAAGGTGCCATAGGAGGAGTCGTGGCGCGGCACCGTTTCATCGGCGCCTGCGTCTCCTCGTGCGCGGCCCCGGGGTCCCCGGCCCCCCGGGCCCGCGCCGTCGTCCGCCGGGCTGGCGGCACAGGCTGCAATCCCCGCCAACAGCAGCCGCAGGAGCAGTGGTTCCCACGCCGGGCGCTGCCGGGGCTGCCGCGCCATCGCTGCGCACCGATCCAGCAGCCAGGCCTCTCCGGCCGCAGCGGGGGCGCGGGGGCGCCGCGGGCACGGGCCGGGACCGAGCCGCCAGCACGCGCGGCGCAGCCGCGGAGCGCCCGCACCCGCCACCTCCCTGCCTCACTCTGCGCATCCTCGCTCCAGCCCCGCAGCCTGCCCCTGCGTTCTCAGCATCCCTCCTCCCCGCCTGATGCTCCTTCATCGCGGCTTCCCTGCTTGCTCCTTTCCTCACAGTCTCTCCATCCCCTAGTCCTCCTCCAGCCAGTTTTGACTCTCCAAGGATCGCTTTTTCACCAGGATCCCATTTCAAAGTGCTCCTCCAGAGGGTTTTCCCTGGGCATACCTTGTTAGAATGGCCCCACCACCTTGCTCCCGCAGGTTTTGGTTTATATGAAGCACTTACTAGACTCATTACGTCTAGAGACCATCACAGAAGGAAGATGAAATCACAAGATGCCACCTATACAGACAGCGAAGAGGCTGGAGGCAGTGAAGAAACTAGAACTCAAGCCTTTGTGAGAGCCAGCAGCAAAAGGCACCCTTCAAACTAGACAACTGGTCTACTATTTCTCAGGAGCAACGTGCACAGACCTCAAACCGCCCACGCCATGTCTAATGAGCAAGCTGAATCTTCTATTTCACATCCATTCCCACCACTTACACTTCACTATGTTATTGGCTCAGCCATTCATTACTCATATATACACAGATCCCAGGCATGTCTTCCAATGACACCTGCTGGGGTGGTGACAGAGTCAGTCTAGTAAGTTGTTTTCTGCAGGTTGGCTCAGTAGTTAAAAGCACTTTGCTGTTCTGTGGATTCAGTTCCCAGCACACACATGATGGCTCACAACCACCTGTAACTCCAGCTTCAGAGGATCTGACACCCTCTTCTGGCCTCAGAGGGCACCAGGCACCCATGCAGTGCACATATATGCAAGCAAACCTTCATATATAGAAAATAAAAATAAATCTTTTTCTAAATGGTTAACTGTAAGAAATAGGGACACTACTCCTTTTGTGGCACTGTTGCAGAGCCTGCATGCCAACCTGGCTTTCCTAGTTCTTTTTTTTTTTTTTTTTTTTTTTAAATTATTGCAGAAAGAAAGGAAATTGCTATGGAGGCAGAAAAACATGGCGATTCCAAACGCAGGCCTATAAATGAGACTGCCTGAGTTATCAGTAGTGACTCATGATCAATAATTTCCATGATGCAGAGCAGATTAAGTAAGACCATGCAGGGTTCAATGTCATCAATGGCATGAATGACTATAGACAGAATTATGAAATATTGATATTCAAAAGGAAACCAGTGACTTCAACTTTTTTGGCTCAGTGGCTGGGAGATAGGGGTAATGCTATTGAAATAGGGAGATAACCTGAGAAACCCAAAGACCAGTTGTTCGCTATCAGTTATAGCTGAAAAGGCAAGTTGTCCAGTTGTTTAAATGTATTAATCCTGCTAGGGTCTCTCACTGAGCCTTAAGCTCATTCATTTGGCTAGGCTGGCTGACCAGGGTGCTTGAGATCCTCCTATCTCCCCAGCACTGGTCTTACAGATTCATGCCGCCACAGCTAGCTTTTTATGTAGATACGGGAGATTTGAACTCGGGTTCTCATGCTTGCACTGTCAGGCTTTTCTCACCTGAGCCATCTCCCCAGCCCCCCTCCAGCTTAAGTTTTGTGACAAGGTCGCTCACTGAACCCAGAACTTGCTGTTTCAGCTAGATTATCTGGCCGGGAAGCCCCTGGGATCCAACCATCTCTGTCCCTCCAGCATTGGAGTTACAGACACATGCTGTCACGCCCAGGTTTTATGCGGGTGCTAAGAATTCAAATGCAGGTCTTCATGTTTATGTAGCAAATACTTTGCCCACTGATCCATTTCCTTGGCCTCTGACAGTACTTTTGAATGAACCAGTATTTAATTTCATTTTTATTTTTAAAAGACAGAGACTTTATTTCTCTTCTCATCAAAATAAGTTCTTAAAAGAACATTTTCTTTGTTATAAGAACTTCCTCAAATCAGTGCTACTGCTCAGGATCCAACCAGTAACAGATGTGCCTTGCTTCTGACTGCCTGGTATATGTCATTTTCCACTTTGGATTTCATAAGAAATAAAAGTTGTGATCTTGGAAGTCCCTCAGAAAGTTAAACATAGAGTTACCATATGATCTGGCAATTCTGAGAGAACCAAAAACAGGTTCACACAAAACTTGCACATGAATGTTCATAAAATTATCATTCATAATAGCCAAAATGAAGGAGTGACCCAAATAACTATCAAGTGCTAAATAGATGACCAAGGCATGACATCTGCATAGACAATGCTCTGTTATTTAGCCACAGAGAATGAAGGCAGTTCTGCTACATACTATAACATGGATGAACTTATACACATGATGTTAATGGAAAGAAGTCGATTACAGAAGACCACATACTGTATGATCCCAGTTATATGAACTGTCCAGAATAAGCAAATCCATAGATAGAAATCCAGACAGAAGGGAGATTAGTGGTTGCCAGGGGATGGGGGGTGGAGTCAGAAAGTGATGTTTACCCAGCATCATGGATACACTGAAAAACATTGATTGTACACGTTACAATTGTGAAAATGGTGGATTTTATTTGAGGACTTCAAAAAGCTGTGATCTTTTGAGATGGCAAAAGAAAAATAACAATGATATCAGAATCTTCCTGTGCTATTTCTGGAATATCAAATTCTGGGTGTAACCTAGTGGGAACTTCTGAAGGTCCAAGCACTTCGTTTCCAAGGTCTTCAAACCACAAGATCTATGCAGTCCACAATCCATCAACCCTGCAGGTTGAGGATTGCCCAACTCCTGCAGTAACCCACCACACCTTTCCACCAGGAGTCTGTGGTTATAATTTGGAGCCCTAACTCTGGAATGATTATCTAAGCAGACTCCCTTTTCCCCTGAACCTAGAGTGTGTGCTGTGTGACCATCCAGTGCTATTGTTTGGGTTTTAAGTATGTAAGAAGGGTAATACAGTTTCACAATTCCTCAGCGTCACTGTGAGTCCACCCAGGGAAGCTTTACATTCTCAGGTCCCAATGCCAAGCACCCAGCACACGGTTAAGTAGGCAAATAATCAGGACAATGGCTGCAGCAATGCATTCCTCTGGGTTTTACTGGTTAGGCGCGAGCTGCCAACAGTCCTGGGTTTTCATATACAGTAACAATCAACAAGTTTGTGCTCAGACTTGCAGTGACATCAACCTTCTAAGACACCTGTGAATCCAGGGGCAAAGTGGGGGAGAAAACAGAAGCCTGAGAGTCTTCTGAAAACAGTAGCCTAAACATTCATGAATCCCTCTTTCGAAGCAAAACAAACTGGACACATAGGAAATACTTGGGTCCTGGCCTCCCTGGAAATCTTCCACTGTGTTCTCGAGGTCTCCATCAGAGAGCAGGGTGGGGAGGAGCACACACCTCAGAAAGCAGCTCAGAAGAGGAAGAGGTTGCTGGACTGGCAAGAAGCCACAACCCCATGTTCTATAGGAACACAGTTTGTGCCATGTGATAGAGAACAGCTAAAGCTGCTTTACAAGTATATCTGGGTATTAGGGGGGTGAAAAGCTGTCTCAAACCACAACTGCCCCAGATAGCTCCACTGACAGAGCAGATAGCAGTAAACAGTCATCAGTGAGGGTCATATCATATAAACAGCCACATCAAGCCCTACATGTTGATAGCTCCTAGTGACATCCTTGTACCATATCAAGGTACAGAAGGGGTTGATGTGTATAATCACAAGGATTCACCAGGAAAAGGCTGAAGACTCTCCATGATACTCTGTGCACTAAGGCAGGGAAATGTGCCACACATCTTAGAAAGATTTCCCTCAAAAAATATTAAAAATGTAGAGTCAGCACTTAAAGGGTTACTCCTCAGTTATCTGAATATCTGTTTACATACCTCATTTGGGTCAGTGCTAGTCAATGAGGCATTGCTTTTTTTTAGTCATTAGTATCAAATTATTGGCACCATTCAGTTGTAAGGATAAGGAGAGAGGAGCAAACTCTACACTACAACATAAAAATACAGTTCTGATACAAAGGTATGAGATCAATTCCATTGAACAAGCAGTCATAAGAAATGGATGTGGACAGTTTACACACAAGGAAATACACCTAGTAAATTATCACATGGAAAAGTGCTCAGCCTAGTTAGCATTTGATCAAATAAGACAACTTTTCAAGAACAACTATACACATCTATTAAACCAGCAAAAATAAATTAAAATGGCAAAACCCAATACTGGCAGAGCTATTGGTAAATAGAAATGCTTATACATTGCTGGTGGCATCATAAATTGTAGAGGGGATTCAAACATTCAGAGGAAAGGGGGTGGTTAAACGAGATGACCTTTAAGGTCCTTCCAACCCAGAGATTGGATCTTTCTAGAAAGCAATCTGGCAATATAAAACAAGAGCTATAAAATACTTCATGCTCGCTCACCTTATAATCCTTTTTGGAGGTATTCCAAAGGGAATAATCCAGAAGGATATATATATATATATTTTTTTTAACAAAGACATTCATAGCAGCACTATTTATAAATAAGAGTGAAAATTTGGATGGAACTCAAATATCTAACAATGGGGAGAACTGAAGTTAACCATGTCATATGGATATAAAGATATTTAAGTTAGTGATAGTAGGATCTGTCTGATAATGAGATACATGTTAGGTGGAGAAATTCAACAAAAGGAATGTCCACACAGCTGTGTAAAAACGTGAATATATTCATCAAGAAAGCCAGGGAAGTAATTTAGAGGGCTAGTGTGTGGTTAGGACTTCCTACACTCCTGCGAAGTTATTATTCAAGTGCATAATAAAAATTTAAAAATGCATTTCCTGAAACTATATAAAAAGGGGCTGAATTTCTTCTGCACAAGGCTCTATCCACATAAGAATGAGTGGATGAGGTTTAGAAATAATTTTCCTTTATGGAAAATCCAGATGAATCTTCCTGACACTGAATCACCTTGACCTTGTAAAGACTTTTGGATAATGTAAGCTTGAATTTCCTACTTGGGGTTCAAAGATAAATTCTATTTATCCTGGATAATATTGTATCCAACATGTTCACATATTCAACTGTATTTCAGGTTAAGCTCAAGTACTTTAGGTTGTTGTGATATGCAACTTCCTCTTTTTTTCAGTTCGTGTCTGAATAAAAATAAAGGACTTTGTAAGATCTTTGTATTTATCAGTCTAAATGAAAAAACCAGCAGTAAAGAATTACTCTCTCTTAAAAATGACTCATTTAACAAACAGTCAAAGCTTGGTACAAGTTTCAATCATACAAAATCACATGGTTGAGATTGTTAGTAGCAGTTTCCATGCCGTGTTAACCCCCGTGGTTACTAACAGATACACACAGGTACCTCTGGGCAGGAATTCCCTCTTTCTTCTAGAACTTTCCTACCAAATCCTGTCTCCACCGCACTGAGCAGTAGAAAAACCTCTCATGCTCAGGAGACATAAAATAACTTTTCCAATGAAGTCCAGCTGGAAGCTGGCTTCCGCTAGCCATGGAGACCCGGGCAAGCAGAGCACACATTTGTATGATGTGCCCCAGTGAGCACACCGAGCCCAAGGAAAGGAAGCGGACAGAAGGCACCATGCCATCTCCAGGCGGCAAGGGCAGAGTTTCACAGTTCGGTCATCAACAGTCTTTTCATCATCTTCTCTCTCTCCAGTTCCTGCCGGAGCGTCTCTGCACTGAGAAAGAGCAAGCAGCAAAATAGTAAGACAAAGCCTCAAAATCTACAGGTGCAGATAGAGTTCAAATGTGATCTTGTAGAGCTGAGCTTTCCTTGGGTTCAGTTAGGACACCCCGCACTGGCTAGTGTTACAGTGAGGTCAATTGTATGACTACTGAGGGGTTATCCCACTAGCCTGAGGGTTCCTCAGTGGATCAATTTTATGTCATTTCATCTCTATCATCTCAGAGCCTAATACAGGATCTGGTGCACAGCTGTTGAGTGAAAATCTCCTGAATGAATGAGAGGGCATTCTGGGGTTAGATTTCTTCCTTTAAAATTTTGTAGATTTTAATTTAGTGTGTATGTATGTGCACATGTGCATGTGGACAGATGCATGCATGCTATGGTGTATGTGTGGAGGTCAGAGGACACCTTTCTGGAATGAGTTCTCTCCTTCCACTGTGGGTTCAGAGGACTGAACTCAAGTCATCAGGCTTTTGTGACAAATGCTTCTATCCTAAGCCATCTCACTGGCATGTGGGGTTGGATTTTTTTTTCCATAAAATTATGTATGTACTTTAAAGATTTTATTGATTTTGATTTTATGTATATGAGTGTTTTTTCTGCATGACTGTGAGTGTACCATGTGCATGCTTGGTGCCCAAGGAGGCCAGAAGAGGGCTATGGATCCCCTGCAACTGGAGTTAAGGACGGGTGTTAGCTGCCATGTGGGTACTAGTAATCGAACCCAGGTTCTCTGGAAAGGCAGGCTGCACTCTTAACCACTGAGCCATCTCTCTAGTCCCCTTTTTCATAATTTTTTTTTGTCTTTTTGAGACAGGGTTTCCCTGTAGCCCCAGATGTCCTGAACTCACTCTGTAGACCAGGCTGGCCTTGAACTCACAGAGATCTGCCTGCCTCTGCCTCCCGAGTGCTGGGATTAAAGGCGTGCACCACCATGCCCGGCTTTTCCTTTTTCATAATTTTTAAAAATTTTATTTATTTTTATTTTATGTATATAAATTTTTTGCCTGCATGTATGTAATTGTACAACATGCATGCAGTGCACACAGAAATGGGCATCAGATCCCCTGGAACTGGAGTTAAGGATAGTTGTTAGCAACCGTGCAAGTGCTGGGTACTGAACCCAGATCCTCTGCCAGAGCAATCGGTACTCTTAACCACTGAGCCATCTCTCCGGCTTCTAAATCATGCTTTAAATTCATTTTATATGCTTTTTCTAGCAGAATTTAAGTTTATTAATATCCAAAGAACGTTCTGTGTTTAATGACTAGAATAAGGGGAAGGGAAGAGGAGGAAAGGGGAAAGAAGAGGAAAACAGAAAGGAGGAAGGAAGGAGAGGGAAGGGAAATTTGGTTGAATGACACAACACTGGCTGCTTTGAGGGGCTGCTTCAGACTTCTTGGTCCTCGGATTAACTGCATATCCCATGGAACTTGTTTTTACTCTTTGAATAAACACACACACGGGGCTGGAAAGGCAGCTCAGCGGTAAAGAGTGCTTGTTGCTCTTCCAGAGGACCTGTTCGGCTCCCATATTAGGTAGCTTACAACCGCCTATAACTCCAGCCCTAGGGGATTTGTCACACTCTTCTGGCCTCTGTGGGTAGCTACATATACACACACTCTGCCAATGCATGGGTACACACACACACACACACACACACACACACACACAATTAAAATAAACACATATAGTTAATTGTGATCTCTCTCTCTCTCTCTCTCTCTCTCTCTCTCTCTCTCTCTCTGTTGCTAAGCTGGAATCCAGGCTCTCATGCCTTCTAGACAAATATTCTACCACTGAGCTACATCCCTCCCTGATGTGTATTTTTACTCACCTACCTCTTCAAAGAGATGATTGTCTCTCCCTCTCCCTTTCTCTCTTACTTTTCCTTTTAAGTCAGGGTATCATTATGTTGCCTAGGCTAGTTTTGAACTTGTGGGCACAAGCAATTCTCTTATCTCTGACTCCCAAGTAGCTGAGACGACAGATGTATGCTACTACATGAGGCTTAAAATGTATATATCTTTTAAAGACTTCTTTTAAAAATTGTGTGTGTGTGTGTGTGTGTGTGTGTGTGTGTGTGTTTGTGTTTGGATCACATGTATATAGAGGCCATAAGGAGGCCAGGACAGGGCATCTGATCCCCTGGAGCTGGAGTTACAGGTAGTTTTGAGCCACCTGATGTGGGTGCTGGGAACTGAACTCAGGTCTTCTGACTAGCAGCAAGTAGTTCTTTTTTAAATATTTCATTTACTATTTTTATTTTATGTGTATTGAGTGCTTTGCCTGCATGCATGTAAGTATACCTGTGTCTTGCAATGCCCACAGAGGTCAGAGGCATGGGATTCCTCTGGAACTGGAGTTACAGATGGTTGTTAGCTGCCATATGGGTGCTAGGAACTGAACCCAGGTCCTCTGCAAGAGCAGCCAGTGCTCTTAACCACTGAGCCATCTCTCCAGCCCAACAGCAAGTGCTCTTAACTCCTGAGCCCCTGGGCTATCTCTCTAGCCCCTAAATAATAATCTCACTCAGGATAGAAATCAGTTTCTGACATGGTCAACAAGGCCCCACACAATCTGGCCCCACCCCGCAACTTTGTGGGCTGCTGTTGTCATCTCTTCTGCTCACCTCTTACTGTGCAAAATCTTAAATAAAGCCTCTAGCTTCACTAGCTCTTAGTTGATTTAAAGATCACTCATTTTGGAGGTCATGCAGCTGGGCAATACTTTATCAGTTTCCCATTAGCTTTCTGTACATAACACTCCTGGCATACGGGTTCTGATGATAATGGTGGTCTAGGATACTTTTCAGAGACAAAAGGGCCTCTTTGGGGGTGGGGGGATGGCTCAGTCAGTAAAGTGCTTGCCTTGCAGCACAAAGACCTGAGTTCTATCCCCAAGTAAAAATGCCAGATATGGTACACAGTACTGGGGAGGGAGAAACAGACGAATCCCTGGGGCTAGTACACTGGCCAGCCAGTCTTCGCCTAATTAGTGAGCTCCAGGACAGTGAGGGACTCTGTCTCAAAGGAAGTGGTCAGCAATCCTGAGAATGACACCTGAGGTTGTCCACTGGCCTCTACATTACCTTCACATACACTTGTATCTACACACATGTAGATACATACATACATGCACACACATGCTCATTAAAAGACCGTGTCCTTTGGTGACAGCACTGACTTCACTTGGGCCCAAAGACATCTGGTGGGGGACTGGAATGGATGGAAAGGCCTGTTATCTCTGACTCCTTTGCTGCCTGACCCTTCAGGTCAGCGTCTGCTCAGCTCTGCATGTACATGCTGACCATTTAAGAACTGTTTTGTTCAGAACCATAGAAGAGGGTTAGCCTGACTTACATTTGCCTAATCTCTCTCCCTGCTTCAAGGCTAAAGACAGTTAGTAGACCCTGTGGAAATAATAGGTCACAAAAGGAACACAAGGAGGTAGCCCCTGAGTTCCAGGAAGAATTCTGCCTATTCCCAGAAAAGACATGACCATCTCCCCTCTCTCAGCCTGTCTCTCTCCTCATTCCTGTCCTGTATCAGTAAGTCTTCCATTCTCTAGAGCTGAGTCTGCTGTGCAGCAATGCCCTCATCTCCCCCTCCTTCTCCTGTCACTGTCTTTTGAGTCACCGGTCTCATCAGATGGCATCAGAATCTTACCTTTTGTCACACAGCCACACTGGCCCCTTAATCTTCCTTAACCATGCCAGATGTGCCCTGGTAAGGTGCCTCAGCACTGGTCAGTCCCTCTGCCAAGCCTACTCTTCCCCAGCTCTCTGTAGCCTGCTCCCCACCACACCACCTGCAGGCCTCCACTCACAGGCCGCGTCAGTGAGGCCATTCCAACTTGTCCTGTTGCTCTTTGAGGTCTTAATTTATTCCTTGCCACTGCCATTAGCACACCTTTGTTTCTCTGCCTCCTTCATCCCATGCACCAAAGTGCAAACTCCAGAAGGGGAAGTCTTTACCTGTTTATCCCTACCACCTCAAATACAGCCTACTACTTGTAGACCTTTCATTACAGGATAAATGAATGAAAGAATGAACAGGAGGGGCTGGGAAGATGGCTCAGTCAGTAAAGTGACTGCCAAGGAAGCATGAGGACCTGAGTTCAAAACCCCAGCACCCAGGTAAAGCTGGGCTCAGAGATGTGTACTTGTAATCCCAGAGCTGAGGAAAGAGGCAGGCGGGTAGATCCCTAGGGCTCACAGGATAGCCAATATAGCCAAACTTATTTTATTTTTAAAAATATTCTATTTGTCATTTTTATTTTTTATGTGTATGAGTGTACCGCCTGCATGTGTGTAAGTGTACCCACGTCATGCAATGCCCACGGAGGTCAGAAAAAAGCATCAGATCTCCTGGAACTGGAGTTATGGATGGTTGTTAGCCCTAATGTGGGTGCTGGGACTCGAACCCTGGTCCTCTGCAAGATCAGTTAGTGCTCTTAACCACTGAGCCATCTCTCCAGTCCCCATAATCAAATTCATGAACTCCAGGTTTGATGAGAGACTCTGACTCAAAAAATAAAGTGGGAAGTGACTGAGAATGACACCACCTGATGTTGACCTCCGGCTTCCATATGCACGTGCACATAAATGTATGTGCACCCACACACCATGTGCACACATCCACGTGAGCATGTACATAAATAGGAAACTAAAGAAGTCACAGACACGGTGAGGCTAGAGGCTAAGCCTGGCTCCCTGTCCCCAGGTTACCTCTAGGTGCCTGCTGATCTGACTCACCTGGCTGCCAGGGAGACAGGCTTCCGGGAGGTGTAGATGGTCTGCACTGTGGACATGGTCTCTGTCAAGGGCCGCAGGGTCACTGTTGGAATCAGCGGGGAAGACTGGCCAGGACAGCACTGTAATTTGCTCTCTCTAAAGTCTGCCTGGAGAAAATGCAGAAAGGAAGGAGCTCAATCTCCATTTGGGTCCCATTTTCACGTTGTCAGCTGCTCTCTAGGCCTTATTGTACTGTTCCTGTTATTTTTTTAATAATAGATAAAATCAATTGCACATTTTAAAAATCATTTTAAATGATCTTTCTCTGTGCCAGACCCCATGCTAAGCACTTTCCATACATTACCTCTTGACAACCTTTTAAGGCAGAGATCATCTTTCATTGCATCTTAGACACCATCTGCTGGAAGATGCATCAGTTTTGCATGGACCACAGAAAAGAAAAATGTGGCGCCCAGACACTGTGATGTTGCATTTTGTAGTGAACACTCTGATTTCATGACATTAAAAGATGAAAAACTACCTCTGAGCTGGTCTTATGGAAAATGAAAGTGGGACTTAAGAGAATTTAAGTCTTCCAACCAAGGTCACCCAGCAAGCAGTTATTTTATTTTAAAAGACTTTTCAAAATTACATTTATTTATTTATTTATTTATTTACTCTATGTGTGTGTCTGTCCACACATGCATGCCATGGTACATGTGTGGAGGTCAGAGAACAACCTGTGGGAATTAGTCCTCTCCTTCTACCGTGTGGGTCCTGTGGATTGAACTCGGGTCGTCAGGCTTAGTAGCAAGTGTCTTTACCCACTGAGTTATCTTACCAGCCCTTAGTAAGTAATTGTTAAGAACAGTACTCAGGAGCTTAGTGGGTAAAATGCTTGGTACACAATCATGAGGACCTGAGTTTAGATCCCCAGCACCCACTTAAAAAGCCGAGAATGGCAGCACAGGTCTATAATCCCAGCACTGTGAAGGCAGAGACAAAAAGATCCCTAGGGCTTTTGGGCCAGCCAGACTAATTGAATCAGTGAGGGCCAGGTTTAGTGTCTCAAAAAATAAGGTGGAGGGCGCCGAAGAGATGGCTCAGAGGTTAAGAGCAATTGCTGCTCTTGCAGAGATTGTGAATTTAGTTTCCAGCACCTATGTCGGGTGACTCACAACTATCCATAATTCCAGGCCCAGGTGCTGGGTCCCTCTTCTGGCCTCCGTGGACACATCCACTATGGGATCTGTGGGTACCCATCCTCACACACACACACACACACACACACACACACACACACACAAATAAATAAAACTAAATCTTTTTAAAAAATGAAGTGGAGAGCAATTGAGGAACATACCTGAGGTTGACCACTGGCCTTTACAAACCTGCATGGATATACAAGTACAGGCATATATGCACACACATACAAATATCCACATGAACATGTAAATATACCACACACACACACACACACACACACACACACACACACATGCACACTCTGATTTCATGACATTAAAAGATGAAAAACTACCTCTGAGCTGGTTTTACGGAAAATGAAAGTGGGACTTAAGAGAATTTAAGTCTTCCAACCAAGGTCACCCAGCAAGCAGTTATTTTATTTTAAAAGACCTTTCAAAATTTCAGAACTAGAATTTGCTGAATCTGTTTATGATGTTTTCATTCATGTAGGGTCACATTTAGGGGATCCAGAATATGATTCCCAGTCTTGCAGCATCAGAATTAGTTTTAAACTAATTCTGATGGTTTAAAAAAAGAGCAAATGCTAGGGTTGGAGAGATGGCTCAGCAGTTAAGAAGAGTACTTGCTGCCTTTGCAAAGGATATAGGTTTGGGTCCTGAAACCCACACCAAACAGCTCACAACTGCCTATAACTCCAGTTCCAGGGAATCCGATGCCCTCTTCTGGTCTCTGAGGGCACTACATGCATGTGGTGCACATAAACTCTCACACACATACACTTACACACACAAATACACATTTAAGAAAATACTTTGGGGGGGGGTAGGGAGATGGCTCAGTGGTTAAGAGCATTGACTGCTCTTGCAGAGGACCTAGGTTCAGTTTCTAGCACCCACATGGTGACTAATAACCATCCATAACTGCAGTTCCAGGGCATCCAATGTCTTCTTTTGGTCACTGCATGACATGGGTATACTTACATACATGCAGTCAATATACTCATACACATAAAATAAACATAATAAATATTTTTTTTTAATGTTCTGGGGCTCTACCCAAGACCTTGGGGCCAGAAAGTCTGAGGATGGAGTCCGACAAGATGTGTTTTAATAAGACTTCAAGATGCTTCTGATGCATAGCAGTTTCAGAACTACTAGCCTATAGCATACTACCTAGTTCAGAGAGGGGAGTTTCCTGTCATTTTCATTAAAATGCAAAATATTCTTATTACTTTTACATAGAGAGCTTAGAGGACAGAATCTGTCACTGGGAGGCTGAGGGGGGCCAACTTGGATTACACAGCGAGACTCTGTCTCAGTAAAACCAAAACCAAAACAAACAACTAAAAAGCACAAATGAAATTTCATAACCCTTTACTGCTGTAATCAATATATTTGCCAATAGCAATTTTTTTGGGGGGGGGTCTTTTTGAGACATGGTCTCCCTATAGCCCCAGCTGGCCTAGAACTCACTATGTAGACTAGGATGGCCTTGAACTCACAGAGATCTGCCTGCCTCTTCCTCCCAAGTAATAGGATTAAAGGCTTGAACCATCATACCTGGCATCAACAGTAATTTTTTGCATAGTTTTTGTTTTTATATCCTTTTGACAATACAAGCTCTATATGATGTAACTTGATTTTTAAAATGCTAGTTCTTGACTCTGAACTCGCAGAAATTTATCACCTAGCTTTTGAAAGAAGCAGCTTTGATCTTTGTTTCAATTATTTATTTAAAATTTTTATTTTATGTGTATGAATGTTTTGCCTGCATGTATGCAAGTGCACCTGTGTCATACAAGGCCCATGAAGGCCAGAAGAGAGCATCAGATCCCTTGGAACTGGAGTTACAGATGTTTGCTAACTGCCACATAGGTGCTAGGAACCAAACCTGGGTCCTCTGCAAGAGCAGTGAGTGCTGTTAGCCACTGAGCCATTTCTCCAGTCCCAGTTTTGATCTTTCAAGTATGCAATCACCCCAGCTGTCCTGGAACTCACTATATAGACCGGCTGGCCTTGAACTCAGAGAGATTCGCCTGCCTCTGTCTCCCAAGTGCTGGGATTAAAGGCCTGTGCCATCATGCCCGGCCTGCAATCACCACCTTGATGACAATACAGAAGATGAGCTGCTCCTCCTGGGTGACCCTAGAAAATCACCAAACTGTCACCAAACTGTCTTAGTTTAGTATAGGCATCTGCTTGAACTATAGGAGGAAGGCTTATCTTTGAGGATGGGGATTTTAAAAGTCTACTGATGAGAAACATGGACCCCTATTCATGTCTTATATCTGTCCTTAAAAGAACTAACTTTAAAAAAGATCTCCATTTCATTTTAGAATGTATTGTTCCTTGCAGAAAGACACATTGTTTTTGCTACTAACACTGAGATGTTGGCACATGCATCTCTAACCTGGATTACTAGTCATAATCAGTTGCACTTGGATCCTTCAATCTTACAGGGATCTATGAAGTCATCAGGTGGAGTTCAATGGTAATGTTTATCACCTCTACTAATTAGCATGACATAAATTTCCATGCTTCCTCCTCAAATATAATACATTTAAAAATT